AGAAGCATTTCTTCGAAGTTACATTGAGTATTGACAAGTTCATCCCTGATGATGGTTTGTAGTTTCCAGCTTTGCATTTAAATGTGGCGGGCCACAAATTCGTTCATCAGATCAGATTGTGTATGAGATGGATAGTGAGACTCTTGGTCCGGCAACATATTACACGATCGATACAAACAGGTGGGCAGTTAGCAATGTTGGTCTGCCTTCTGGTAGCGGCAACCCACAATACACGAATACTTTGGAGTCAGAGTTGTTTCAAACTGCACGAATTTCTGCTGGATCTTTGAGATACTACGGCTTGGGTCTTGAGAATGGTAATTACACTGTGAGACTTCAGTTTGCTGAGATCCAAATTCTAGGCACTAGAACTTGGATGAGTCTTGGAAAGCGTGTTTTTGATGTATATATTCAGGTCTGTATTAAAAAATGAATTCGTATTAACACTAGCATTCATATTTTTCACTGTGCTTAAGCTAAACAATGGTTTACTATCATCAATTGATAGGATAGTATGAAAATGAAAAAGGAAAAATATCAGGTGGGTATATGTGATTGATAATCGTGTATTTGGTACAAATTCTTCAAGCATCATCTTTGTCTAGGACCCCAGTTCACCTTTCATCATGTAGTACTTGATGGGCTGTTTGATATTTGATATCAATGCCGTGGTACTTGATGGGCTGTTTGATATTTGATAATTTTCACATTGTGGGGTCTAGGGGAAACTGGAGCTGAAAGACTTTGACATACTAAGAGAGGCTGGTGGGACTGCTTTGAGAGCTGTTAAGAGGGAATTGCAAGTAGAAGTGTCTGAAAACTACCTTGAAATTCATCTCTTCTGGGCTGGAAAAGGGACTTGTTGTGTACCTTCTCAAGGTACATATGGACCTTTGATTTCGGCAATAAGTGCCACCCCAGGTAAATATGAATTCAGAAATATTTTGATAACTGGCAACAATGTGCTACTCTGGTTCCTAATATATGGATGCGAGTGCTGATCACTAAAGTTTTCCTCAGATTTCGTTCCCACCGTTAGAGACAGACCTCCAAGTAGGAAGAACAGGACTGGCCTGATTGTAGGGATTGTAGTTGCAGTCGGAGCCGTAAGCTTTCTTTCTGTATTTGTACCATACTATTTGGCTCAGAGAAGAAGAAAGAAGAAGAGCTATGAGGATGAAGGTAAGAAGGGAAAAGTATAGTGGACTGAGTATCTTTCTAGTTCAGGANNGACTGAGTATCTTTCTAGTTCAGGAGTTATTGTTACTTCTATGCTTTTGGCTTATTAGTTATTACTAGAACCAGAAGTGCTCTATCAATGCTCATTTAGACACGAGACTAGAAGTGTTCATTTCTTTCTTTCTTTCTTTTTATTTTTTTTTCATTTTTTTCCCTTCTTTCTTTCTTTCTTTCTTTCTTTTTTTTTTTTTGTGTTTCTAACTTGAGAAATAAATTACCTTATAAATGACCCAAATGAGAGAGATAGGTCAATGCATATTTACTTAATACCGAGACTATTAATGCCTATCCTTGTATGGAACTATATTGTATGAGGTAAAGAATGAATCAGCTTGGCACTGCCCTTTGGAAATGAGCACATGTCTCCGTGAGTTTGCAGAATTCTTGGGAATGGATGCCAGACCTTACACGTTTAATTATGCGGAGCTAAGAGCTGCAACAGATGACTTCAATCCTGATTATAAGCTTGGAGAGGGAGGATTTGGACCTGTGTACAGGGTAAGTTCTATTCTGAAAATTTTTAAAATCAAAGATTATAGATTGGTGGAACAATGAAAAACCTCGCTTGAATAACAAACCAACACATGAAGTATGAGAAGAACCAAGACGAAAGAAAGGGGATGAACAAGTCCCTGTTAGTTTTTAGTATTTCACAGTGTCAGTATCACTCAATGTTTAGCTCACATTCCATTGTTATTTTCTCCTTTACCTTTTGTATATCAACCTATAATAGTATCAGAAGCTGATATGTATGAAATTATGCAGATACTATTGATTCCTGTTTTATTTACTTTTCATTAATTTTAAGATTCTTACATCTGAACTTTTTATGTTGTGACCAACAGGGAACACTTGAGGATGGAAGAGTTGTTGCTGTAAAACAATTGTCTGTTGCGTCCCATCAAGGAAAGAGTCAGTTCGTTGCAGAGATTGCTACTATATCAGCTGTGCAGCACCGTAACCTTGTAAAATTGTATGGATGCTGCATCGAGGGAGATAAACGGTTGCTTGTTTATGAGTATCTCGTAAACAAGAGTCTTGATCAAGTATTATTTGGTAATAATGAGAAAGATTGTCCACGCTACATATTAACTTCATATTCAGGAGACTGAATCTTTATGCTTTGGTGGAGCAGGGAATAGAAGTTTATCTCTTGACTGGCCAACACGCTTTGAGATATGCTTGGGAGTAGCAAGAGGTCTTGCTTATCTGCACGAGGAATCTCGACTTCGAATTGTACACAGAGATGTTAAAGCCAGCAACATTTTGCTCGACTCTGATCTGAACCCTAAAATTTCAGATTTTGGTCTGGCCAAATTGTATGATGACAAAAAGACCCATATAAGCACCCGCGTTGCTGGAACAATGTATGATCCACAAAATTTCTAAATCCATAATGTTCCTTCGTTCTGTATTAATCTTTTGTTTAGTGGCCTACATTTCCAGTTTAAATGTAGGCTAACAGGGTGGATTTATTACTGAGTTTTCATGTTTCACTCATATAGTGGGTATCTTGCACCTGAATACGCCATGCGCGGACACCTTACCGAGAAAGCAGATGTATTTAGCTTTGGCGTTGTAGCTCTAGAGATTGTTAGTGGAAGGCCGAATTCTGACTCAAGTTTGGAAGACGATAAAATGTATCTTCTTGAATGGGTATGGTCTATCTGCATTTTGAACTTCCGTGCTTATTGATCCTTTAGAATTTAATAATCTTATAAAAACCCCGGATACCATAAGATTTTAAAATGTTTCATCTTACCATGTTTTCTTCAGTTTTTTTGCTGTGATTAACTTAGGAAAAGGAAATTGTATTTTATTTTACAAATTTTACCAACATTTCAATCTACGCTTGAAGTTATGGACTAAAATTCCAAAATATGAGTTTTCTATTCTGGTAGCAATGACAAAATAGTAGGAGTTCACTTATATTATAGTTTGATTCATTGTTGAATTTTCAGCTTCATTTGTTTGTGGTAGATATCTGGTACGGAAATTTCCTTTTGTTTGGAATCCGAGAGAAATGGGAAATAAGCCTACATGAGCGTGGTTGAGTGTTGAGACATTAATTACATAATAAAAAAATTCTTTCTGATGAATATGCTTGTTTTACACTTGTTCAGTTGTTCATTTAGGTAATTTCTTTCTTCCTTTTTGCTCCATTTGTTTCCACGTGTATCAATGTAGTGAATTTCCTCCTGGTGGAAAATAAGAAAATCTACAATTTTCTTTGTTTGGAGAAATCTAAAGATTTAAGGGAGTAGAGATAGGCTAAGAAACAAGAGGCTTGATTAATGAGATTAAGCCTTCTGAGGCTTATCCTCTTGTTTTCTTCCCCAGTTCACTGCCCGGGAATGAAATGAAGAAGCTATAACAAGGACAGAAAGAAAGATGAACTATGCGCCTGAATAATCAAGCACCTACTACTTGAAAAAGCTTTCTTACATTCTCTTTGGCACAAGATTCAACAGTCAGTTCTTTACAACCCAATGTAATATTTAGGAAGGTCGTCGCCCTTCCTAATTCTCAGGAATAGAAACTCTCATCTTGGACAGGTCCTTAGTAATAAAAGAACTCATCTTCTTTTCATTTTAACCACTTTTCATCCTGGCTAATGGAACAAGTGAGAAGGGACAGGATGAGAAAAAGAATTCTAGTTTCTGTGTGTTTGCAAAACCTAATTTTGCACATCTCTGTAGTCGAACTTTCAAATGTCATTATATGTTTTCCACCCTCTTTGACTTGGTAATTACTAATTTCATTACGATATGCTTGCAGGCTTGGAATCTTCATGAGACAAACCAAGAAATGGAACTCGTTGACAGAACATTATCCGAAGTGAACGAGGACGAAGTAAAAAGAATTATAGGAGTGGCTCTTCTGTGCAGTCAAACATCGCCCAGTTTGCGGCCTTCAATGTCACGTGTGGTGTCGATGCTTTCTGGAGACATTGAGGTGCCCCCAGTCACTTCAAAGCCGGGATACCTGACTGACTGGAAATTCAGTGATGCAACAACCTTTATGTCGAACACAGATAGTTCAACTTCAAGAACTGATATTAGTCAAGGCAATCCATCAAATATAACAAGCATGGCATCTACAGACCCATCTTATTCGCCTCTCACTGATTCGAAACCCATTCTTCATGAGATTATTGGCGAGGGGAGGTGAAATTAAATAGTATAGCAGTATTTTCTGGTAGAAGATAAATAAGCATTCCTTTTGAATTAAAATTGTGTGGAGGTGGTTAAATATTTTCAATTTTCATGATATTGTGATAGTTTCCATATTGTAGTGATAATGTGATATTATTTTCTTAGTAGTATGTTTGTAATACTATAGGATCTTTTCTTTTACATTTGTTTGTAATTCTAGAACACAAAACTTTTATACAATTTCTATAGTTTTTTTCATTGTTTGTATCTCATTTACACTGGATGCATATATATTAATAGAATTAAAATGTTCAGGTAATCAACGATTCTAATTTGATTATCAAAGAAAAATTTGATGCTATGGAATTATACTTTTTGACTACTACATCCATTTTTAAATGAAATGTACTAAATATCTAGGTGATATTTCCTGTTATTGAATCATGAATAAAATGGCGGCATGCCCTTTGAGGTTGATCCAACAAAAAATCATTCAATTGCTTATTGCTACAATCATATCAAGAAACTATGAATAACTTCAAAAGTAGGATTAAGAAATCCTCCATGGGATTTTTATCCTCAATTTGGCATAGTTCTAGCCGAATATTGCTCTAGTTATCTCCTTTCGTCACCCAAATTTATGCTAAGGTCGACCTATCTGTCACGTGACACCGATACACATGTAATTGAGTACTTGTACCGTTGCATCTCTATCATACAATATGATATCATTATGTAAATTGGACATGGAATGTCCATGATTGATGGGTAACCAGCAATATTATATTAACTCAATACTTTACTTCAATGTAATTCTGTAACCTATTATTTTTCAAAGAATTAAATATGTTCTCTACTCGTTATAACTTCGTTGTTCTATCTTCCAATGTAGTACTTTAAAAAGAATATAGGTTTTAGTTGTGTTACACCTCCGTCTTACGGGGACGGGGTGGGGGAGGTTGCCCCGACTCCACCCCACCCCGTTGTCATCCCTATGCGTTTTACTTCCTCCAGTTAGGAAAACAAAAATTGCAAATTGATTTAGAGATTTAAAAAAAAAAAAAAAAGCTACCTTATTCTATAATTAATTGACGTGGCATTTAGGGAGCCAATTAGAGAGGTACATTCTAAAATGCGGAATACGTGACAATGTGTTTTGATTGAATATCAAGTATTACAAACATACATGTGCCTATGCAAAGCATGTGCGTAATTATGTGTTTTTCGATTATGAATATTTTTTTAAATATTCTAAACTAATAAATAAATAAATAAAATAATATGAAATTTACATAAATTCTTTAACATAAAAAAAAAAAAAGAAAAGAACATATTGCTTAAAATACTCAAAAAAAAATTTCTACTCATTATCTTTAGAAATATAATTAGATGTCATGGAAGACTCATTGGCTTAATAGCAGAATACCCTCTGTTAATGTTCTCATTTGCGATATATTTTCATCAAATGCGTCAATTTATATTTTCGTCTTTAATAACACCTACCCAACACAAAGAGAGGGATTTTGTGCAAGACGAAGAGACATGAAGTTTGAGAGGATTCCGATTGTTAACTTACGTTAAACGATCAGTTTCTTGTTCACCCACGATCGTAGAATTGAGGCTTCAAGACTCAGAAGGTTTGAACAAGTTCTTGTGTATGGTAAGTTGCTTTGTTTTTACGCTTTTAGAAATAAAGGGTTTTAGTTCAAAATTGTTTACTTGTTTTGTTAGAATTTGGTTGTAAAAAGAGTGTGCATGTTGTTTCTTGTAGATCTTGAATTGATTTTTGTACTAACTCTTATTTAAATTATCATCCAGCCGTATACACGGATTACTTCATAATGGCTATATACAATGGTGGTGTCTTCTTCGATAAGCCGAATAATGTCAAGTATGATCATGGTATGGTGATGTTTGTGGACTTTGTGATGGCTGAATACTTCAATAGGGAATGGTTACAAGCTCTTGAGTATGATTGTGGTGACAGTGGGTCTTTATAATTTTATTGCAGAATGCAGAAAAGGAATTTGGGTATTACTTTGAGGAGGTTGCATAGTGAATCTCATTTTGGTTTTGGATTGTATGATAGGCAAGAAGTTAGAGACGCGGACATTGACTACAGGGAGTCAGGTGAGTTACATAGTTTGGATAATGAAAAAGATGATGGAATAACATCCAGAAAGGGGATGAACGGATGAATTCAATCTGTTGATCAGCATGGAGCAACCAAATTTTCGAAAAGGTTATCAAAATCCCCCATGATATACTAATACGTCCCCTTATGTATTCAATGCTTTTTTATATACCCCCATATAAAACGGTTCTGTTGTAAAACCCCTTGAAGAAATATGATTTGTGTTTTACGTCCCTCACTTTTCATTTTGTGCGCTACATGTATTATTTTCGAGATGAAAGCAGTTTTGAAACGGGCATTAACTAAGTATTCAGTAACATCAAATCGGGAGATCAAGTACGTTAAGGATGAAGGGTATAGATTGCGAGCAGTGTGCAAGGAGAAATCATGTGAATGACTGTTGTATGCAAATAAGGTGAAAGATGAAAACAATTTTGTGGTGAAGACTTACAATGATGACCACAATTTTGTACATTGGTATACCGGAACAGGCGGTTAACTAAAGTACGTAGCCTATAGGTATTTGTCTTCGTGGAAGGCTGATCCTAATATGTTTGTGAGCCCTTTTTTTTTTTATAAAGTTAAATGAGACAATTTGGAAAACGTGACTAGGTAGCGGTATTACCGAACAAAAAACTTGGCAATGAAGATAGTATGTGGCACCGTAGTTGACCATTGCAAAATTTTGTGGGATTATTACGATCATCTAAAACATACAAAAGTTGGTACAAGTACGCAATTGGAGGGCCGTGCTGGGGAGTTTAAAAGATTGTACATATGTCTAGGAGTACTGAAGGTGGGATTCATGAGTGGATACAGGAAGGTGATAGAGTTTGACGGCTATTTTTTGAAAACTAACCTGGGGGCTAGTTATTAACAACAGTAGGTGTAGATGGTAATAATGATGTTTATCTTATAGCGTATGCCATAGTGGAGATTGAGAACGGCGAAAATTGGAGGTGGTTTTTGGAGTTGTTGAGACATGATTTGAGCATAGTTAATAGCCACCATTGGGTATTCACATTTGATAACTAGATGGGGTATGTACAAGCTCTTGAACAAATATTTGAACATGTCAAGCATCGACTTGTGTTCGACATCTTTACAACAACTTTAGTGCAACATACAAGGGCCTGGTATTGAAGAATTTACTCTGGGCAGCAGCAATATCTACAACTAAAGTTGCATGGGTAGATGAATATGATGTGTGATCTAGACCTGTTGCATATGGTTGATTGCAGTTGAAGCTGGTAGAGAATTTGAGTAAATCGCATCTCAAAGTGGAGGATAATTGTGATATGCTACTGAACAATTTATCGGAGTCCTTTGACGCTACCATCTTGAGTCCACGGGAGAAGCCTATCTTGTCAATGTTAAAGAAGATTCGAATGTACTTGATGCAACGAATCGTGGCAAGGATGGATGCATGCAACAAATGAAGAGGAGTTGTGGGATCCAGAACTATGAAAATCATTTAGAAAAATACAACTTGACTGAATATGCTCACTATTCAAGGAACCAAAATTTTCAAATACGACATTATAAAACTTAAACTTTGTGTGCAGTGGACCCGACAGCTATGACTTGTTCATGTCGGTTGTCGCAGTTAACGGGGTATACCATGCAGCCATGTCATTGCGGCACTATCATCACGAGGCATGCAAAATGTAATAGAATACTTGGATGATGTGTATAAGAAAGAAGCATACATTCGAACGTATACACTTACAATATCCCTAGCGACAAGACCAAATACATGGCTGAATGTCGTACTCAATCCTTTGACACTGCCTTTATACACTAAGAAGGCTGGAAGTAGCGGTGGCAACGAGCCGAGCCGAGTCGAGCCCGAGCCGGGAAAAAAAAGCTCGGGCCGAGCCCAAGCTTTTTTGGACCGAGCTTTTTTCGGCCCGAGCCGAGCCGGGCCCGGCCAAAAAAAATG